GCAAATTGACCCATTAAATTATAAGTCCATGAGCATTTGAGATCCTAAATACATTTTTGACATAATATTTTCCTTCAACTTTTAAAAAATGGTGCAATCTGACCCCTATCATTGACAAAAATTAACTTTGACTATTAATCGACCATAAAATAACAAAAAGGACCGCAAGAATTAAAGAAAATGATTATACAAATTTCTTGGCCCTTCTTTGTAATTTTTTGGGTCCTTATTTGTAATTTTGGGATTCTTTACAATAATTTTTTGTTCCCTTTTTTTTGGGTAATTTTTAAGATCTTTTTTGTTATTTTCTAATCAACTAATAGTCATAACTAACAATAGAGGTTAGACTGCATTATTTTCAAAAGTTGAAGGAAAGTATTTAACAAAAAATGAGTTTATGATCTCAAACGCTACTAGACCAATAATTTAGGAGCTAATTTTTCTCTTTTATTCTATTCTTAAAAGATAAATGGGATCAAACATATATATATATATATATATATTTGGGTTGAGGGCAAAGTGAAAATTTTTAGAGGGGACAGGTAAAATTTTTAAGGGAATTATATATGTGTAATTTTATTTATACAAATGGAATCTGTAAGTATTATTAGCGGTGCCCCCCTATGATACACCGCGTTCCATCATTGTCAATTTGGCATAATCCTGTCATCGTCTTCACCAAAAAGTGCAAGCTGGGCTCCTGCATGCTAATTATTAAATAGGAACGCATCTGTTGAACCATGCATAATGAAATAATACACACACGCACACACATATATTATATCTATATATCTTGTTTCACATTTCCAACTTTCTGTCCAGCCCAAACTTTCATAATATAAGCCTTCCAAGTTCCAAGTGATTGAGTCCACCTTTTTAGTTCCCTCTCAACTTTCACCTGCTCAATCCTGCAAGTAGACAGGGTGGATCATACAAATAGAATAATTAATCTAGGCTGTTCCATGTGTCAAACCTATGTTGTGAGGTTAAGTTTTACCAATTCAATTAAATTTAGTCCTGATGCAATGCGTGTAATAACTAAATTAAATAAGGAAAAAATTTGTAAAAAGCGCGCTAACTATAAAAGAAATAAGTCTTGATTCAATTATTTCATAAGGTTTACTGTCTAGGGTTTTATTTTTACCTTGAAGTATTATATTAAATAAAATAAAATATCTAGACTAGCTAGATACTTTGTCATCATTTCTTAATTTTTAATATTTTAAGATTTTAATTTAAATTATTATTTTAATGTTTGTAGCTAGGTCAGCTCTATAAATAATCTTTGAATTCTCAATTATTTAGACTTTGATTATTGAATAAATAATTTTTATTTTCTTGGTCTCCTCTCTTCAATTTTTCTCTCTCTTCCCCTACCCCTTCCTGTTTTACACCAGTAAGTCACAATAAATATCTTTAAATCTATCTCTAGTTTAATCAGTTAGGCTCACTCTTCACTTTCTAATCCATTGGGTTTACCTATTAATTAGATATTTTATGATGACCGGACACAAAATCTACACAAAACAGAAAATAGAACACGATAATTAAAGAGAACTATAGATATAAATAACTAATCATGAAGTTATAAAACAAAATATACTGAAAATCCCAGAAGATTTCAAAAGCTCTTCTTTCTAAGTATGAAGATTAGTTGGTTTTTTAGAGTGAGCCATAAGGCCCTTTTTATAAGATTTCACGCCACTCTTTTCCTTTTGCTGTCAAAATTCTTATATGATCTTTTAAGATTTAAAAAGATCCCTAATTTTCACCATTAAAACGTCTTGACAGCGTACTCATGCATCCATGGATGAATGAAGTGATCACCCGCCAAAGGTTGAATCCAAGGAATGTCATAGATTTCGGAGGATAGCATTGAAGTATAGGATTTGGATATGGTAAGTGGCTCAAGTTCGCTCAATCAATCAAACCTCTGTCTGTGAATTTTTTTATATAATCCTCCCTCCATCCCAAATTATATGGGATTTTTGAAGGAGCTTTTCCGTTCCAAAATATAAGACATTTTGGATAGATTAATATTTTATTAAATGCATCAATTTTAATTATCCTTTCTCTCTCTATACCATTAATTTTCATCCTTTCTTTTTTAATATATTAAATGATGATATTTTTTAAAAATTATATTTTTATTTTGGAAAGATAGGATTGTTAAGAGTATTTAATGAGATTTATTAGTATTTGAGATTTTATCTAAAAATATTTTATAATTTGGGACGAAGAGAATACTCAAAAAGTACTAAATTTCAATTTATTTGGTGGGGACAATATATGTGAGGAGTGTTGTAATCATAAAAATTATTTAATTTCAATTTTTTTGAAAGAAAAATATATTTTAATAATTTTGAAGTATTAATAAAATTCAATTATAATAATTGAAACATTTATTAAGTATGTGACTATTCACCGAATCAAAATCCCTGGTCACGTACCCTTTCATACCTATATATAAGATTTTTTAGAAATTTTTTTTACCCCTAAATATAAGAGGTCTTTAACATATTTTTTAAGGAATAGACCATTATAAGTTTGTTAAATTGAAAAGAGAAAAAATAAATGCTTTCATTAATTTACTTAAAAAAAAGATTCATTTTTTATTTATAATAATTAGGGGCAAAATTAAAATGTTATTGTGTTTATAATTAGATAATCAACTTTTATTGATTCAAGTGATTCACTTAAAAATATCTTCTATGTAGGGACGGAGGGAGTAGTGTTTAGAGGAGAAAGCAAAAAGGCAAATAAATGCTTACAATAAATAAATGGTTAATGAGTACATAGGACCTTGAACTCTTGCTCGAAAATCATCTTAAATCTTGAACTCTTAAAATATATAAAATAAACTCTAAACTTTTAAATTTATAACAAAATAAATCTTGACCTTTAACTTTTTTAATACTGTTATTGTCCACTCGAGTACTGTAGCAGTCAGGGTTAAATTTATAAGAAAATAAACCTTGAATAATATTTGCATTGACAGTAACGATATTAAAAAATTAACGATTAGGGTTTTTTTTTGCTATGGATTTAAAAATTCAAGGTTTGTTTTGCATATTTTAAGAGTTCAAAATTTACGATAATTTTTGAATAATAATTTAGAATCTTGTTTTCTCATTAACTCATAAATAAATATTCATTTGATTTGGTTTTTTTCCTTGAGTACACAATGGGTAAGGCAATGTGCCCATACAGAGAAGAGCCGATGGATAAGAATGCATCAGATAGTAACATGTGGACAATATCAAGACTATTCTAAAAAGACGTGCTAGCTAGGGCTAGCTGTCGTTTTGTCGTGTCACGTGCAGGATGATCATTTATTAATCCATCAGGAACGAGAGGTAGTCAATATGTTAGCAAGTTAATCCTTTGATAAAACAATGGCAATTAATTTGAATGGTTTTGGCAGCAACCCGTTCACGAACAAACTGATAATCTAATGCTATATGTTTAGTGCGAGAGTGAAATACTGGATTAGCAGCAAGATAAGTAGGTTTTGAACCCCAATGAATTCACACTGGGGCTATATATAGTAAGAGCAATATTCAGATTCAGTGCTGGACCTGAACACTGTGTGGGTTGTTACTTGGAGCTTCATGAAATCACATTTGGACTAAGAAAGACAACAAATAAAGCCAATTTGTACATTGATCGTGAATCAACTTAACACCTGCCCAAATCAACGTCAGAGTGTATGGGCTTCAAGAGAGGTGGAGGCAGAGCAAAGGGTAACGGAGGATAAGAACAAGCGTCAGAGTGTTTGAGATAAACCATTAACGTAACGAAGGATCCATTTGATAGCCTTCCATAGAAATTTTTATGATTCAGCCTCCAGGATTTGTGCATCCTGACTATCCAAATCATATGTGCAAACTTTGTCGATCTCTCTACAGTCTCGAGCAAGCTCCATGTGGTGGAACTATGCATCGTCCTATGGACAAAAATGACATGGCCAGCCTAATGAACACTTATTCCTGTCCTTATTATAAATCACTTATAACTAATTCATCACACCTAAGGAAAGTTAAATATATTATTACAATTATTTAAAAATCACTTTGATTTTCATTTTTATCCCTAATAATTAAATCCATAAAATTGAAAATTGAGAAAAATATTGGCACATATATTTGGAATAAAACGATTAATATTACACAAACTTTTGTAAGGTAACTGATATTTAAGACAAGACAATTCTTTTAGATGGCGATTTGTATGTTGGTCAGAGGGACTACTCTAGAAGAAATACAAATTAGCAAATAAAACGAAGTCTATAAAAGTGGCATTGGTCAAGGTGTCAAATGGTGCTTTTGGTTGATGATTCAGCTGAGGTGGTCTAACAAATTAATATATATGGACAATTTAACTTACCAAAATTACGCTTATCAGACATCCATCAACACTCACATTGTATCCCTTTGACGATTGAAAAGTTGCCAAAAATGGAGAAGCTAGGGGCAGATCATTGTACGTGTTACGTGCTATGAGCCTCACGCGATGAACAGTATGTCTCTGCTTTTAAAAACCCACGTGCATGTGAAATACTTTACTTTATACATATACTAATTAAATACTTTTCTTCTTTGGCATGGCATATATATATATATATATATATACAGTACAAGGAATATTGAACTGGGTGGTTGATCATCACTGTTCACTGCTTATGATTGATAATTTTGTAATTAAATTTTAGATTTAAAGAGACATGCACATACATACAATCACAGTAATTTTTCCTTTCCCCAGATTAAAGTAGCTAGGTCCACAAGAGCATGGCCTCTATAAGCAGTATTGGTAGTTAACTGATGAGTCCTCATGATAACGTCAGACATAATGCTTTCTCTTTCTTCCCCAAAAGTAGATGCTCGATCTCCACCATCTATTTATAGAGATTTGCTCTTGCGCAGTTCCACTACAATCTCCAGATCATCATCATCATCATCATCATCACTCAAAACCCTTCAAAATATATTATATTGATCAATCTTCTCCCTTCATTACAAAAACCTCTAGTTTTCCTAGGTTGATATTATATAGCTAGCTTGTAAGACCAAGATTCTCTCTCGCACATATCATGACTGATCTATCATTTCCATTTCATTTTGTGCATTTCCAATCAATCACCTGGGTTTTGATTATATACACACATATATATGTTTGAAATGATTAATGTTGCAGGATATGGATGATTCTGAAGACTTCCACGACCAAGTTTGTCACATGATGATGTCTTTTGACGAGGAAGACGAAGAGTTTCTCAGAAACATAATGCACCAGCAGCAGCAGCAGCAGCCAGCTGGTAATAATAATAACAATGATGAGAATAAGAATCAGTACTTGTGCTCTTATCTAAGCGAAGAGAAATCCTTTGCCACCGTGGATCTCTCTACTGACAGCTCCGGCAACCGTCGTGGTGGTCGTTCGAATGATAAGAAACACGTGGACGGGTCTGCTAAATCATACATTTTATCATTCGATCAGTCCAACGTAATGCCAGCAGAAGCAATCTCATCGAAACAAGAAGAATCTAGTACCTCAGAACTTTGTTCATTAAAAAGGATCAGAGCGACCACGTCGTGTAATGTTGAACCCAGAAAGAAGACTAGAAGCTGTTCGGAGACTGCAAATCATATAATGGCGGAGAGGAGGAGAAGACAGCAACTCACCGAGAGATTCATTGCACTTTCAGCAACTATTCCCGGCTTGAAGAAGGTTAGTATTTAATTTAATTTTCTATTTTTTAAATATATTTCATTATTCTTTAAATTTTCAATTGATTAGTGTTGTGATTTTCATGGAGATCAAATCCTCTAATGTCGATATCCATGAATTTCTGGAAGTTTTCCCTTTTGATATTTTCCCCATTTTATTATTTTTTTATAAATATAGAAATCTTCTTATTGCTTTTTTTTAAATATAAATCTCATAAAATTCACAAATTCTCAATTCTAAAGGATCTATTCCCGGTTTTCATAATTAAGATTAGGGGTTCTAAAGTTAATTTTCAGGAATTGTGATTTTTTCTATCTTTAGTATTTTCTTATTTTATTATTTTTTATAAAATATAAAATCTTCTCTTTTTTATTTTTAAGGCAAACCTTATGACATTTGCAAATCTCAAGTTTAAAGGATTTAAATCCAAGACAAGGTTACTGGCAAAAGCTAAGAATTCTTGGGGAAAGAAGATCACATAAGGAAGAAAAGGAAGAAAGCGTTGTCTTTTAGAATGTGATGTGACTGGTTTTATCGCTTTACTGCAACATAGGAAGTTGAATATGGTCAAAAAAACATAGGAAGTTGAATCACATTGAACTTGTGGATCCAAAATAAAAATTACATTCTTAAAGTAATAAAATACACGTTTATCCCTCTCTTTGACATGCTTTACATCGATAAAATCATCATTACACAAAAATAAGAAAAATATCGATTCCTGTCGTCTCCTTTTAAAAGCATCGAAATGTTCCATCATTTCGTAACCAGCGGAATGTTCAATTTTATATCAATCTCGTAAAATATTATTTAGTTACATGTTACAAGTACTTCTAAAAGGAGAATCAAGCTGTGTTTACAGTGCGAAGTCAATAATCAAGCTTAATTTGTTTGTCCCAAAAAAATTAATAATTATTTACAAGCCCAAATCGTTTATAATTTTGATTAATTTTGAAATCTAGATGGACAAAGCCACGATTCTTCAAGAAGCTACAAGATATGTGAAACAGCTTCAAGAACGAGTAACGGAGCTAGAGAAACAGAATAGCATCATCAACACATCAGAGTCATCAATGATATCGATCAAAAAATGTGAGCTACATAGAATTAATGATGATTTATGTGAAGCAAATGAAGTTTTGCCTCAGATTGATGCAAAAGTGTTGGAGAATCAAGTGCTATTTGGAATCTTTTGTGAGAAGCAGAAGGGCATTGAGTTTAAAATATTGACTTTGCTTGAGAATTTTCATCTTCATGTCACTAGTAGCAGCGTCTTGCCCTTTGGGAATTCCACTCTTGGCATCACCATCATTGCCCAGGTAAATACTTTTGTATCCAATCATTTATTAATTTATGTGAAGTTTGCCCTTTTTTAGTATTTTTCTTCATTTTACTATTGTAAATAAAATATTATTTTTCATACTTCATAAAAATTTACAGCATCTCAACTTTAGATGTTAAATCCAAAAAGAAAGGATTTAAATCATTTAAAATTGGGATTCTTTAATTCATGTGAAGTTTGTCTTTTGTTTTTTTTTGGTTGCATTTTTCATCATTTAATTATTTTATATAAAATATAGAATCTTCTTTTTAGTTCTTGAAAATGAAAACTTCACAGAAATTTTGAGAGCATCTCAACTAGAGAATCTTGAATTTATTTGAAGTTTGAACCTGCATAACCACCAGATAGATGCTTGATTCAACTGTATGCTATAGGAATGAAGCAGTATTAATGGTAGAGTTTCTGCCTGTAAAGATTCTAAAGCTATCCACTTGACTGGGTAGTTAACTGAAGACATTATTTAAGATATTACCATTAAGTAGATGCGGGTTCATTTTTAACTTTATGAATAGTATGATGTTGAACGAGAGATAATAAAGTTGAATTGAAAGGTTGAATCGTCATAACTTTGATTAATTGCAGATGGGGGAGGAATACAGAATGACAGTGAATGAAGTGATGAAAAAGCTACGACAAGTTCTGTCAAAGTCGCACGAAGTTGATCCGTACTAGTGTATCAAGCATGTTTGTTATTATAATCTTCGTCGCTTAATATGTGGACTTAGGATATGTTTTTATGAAGAGAATATATTTGTTATTGTTATTACAGCTTGTCGCATTTTGGACTTGGATATGTTTTTGTAGAGTACTAATGTTGCTCAATTAATAAAGTTACTGATGATGATTCATCATGGGTATGTCTATTTTATCGCAGATAGATTTGGATTGGATGCTCTTGAGAGTACCAGAGAGGTGGCCCAATTAATAATAATTAAAGTTATTGGTGATGAGTGTGTTGATCAGATCAATTTCTGAATTGTCATTCGCTCCTCACATATCGAAAGAAACTGCATTGTGGGGGTCGGGGAGTTTTGAATAATCTACAGAGAGAGAAAAGGAAATTAATTATTTACAAATTCCATCAACTGTAAATATTGAAATCCATCTAGTCAACATATAAATATAGAAGTTTCACTTGTAAATGGACCAAATAAATAGTTAGTTTCTTTATTTGGAGTAAACTGATTGCAATTCTTCCTTGAATTTATCACGGAATTTGATATGAGTTGCGTTTTTTTTTTTTTTTCCTATTTGACAGAGTGAAGTGAATAAATGAATTTTTTTTATAAAATGATACAATGATATTACTAATGTTATTGCATCAATAAACAATAAAAAATAATACTTAACCACTTTACCTTTGAATAATATATTAATGTTAATTCCCCCCCAACTTAAATTCATTTAATGCACAGTGAAATAGGAAGTGTAAATGCAAGTATATCAGGTATACTATTATATTTTAATTACCTTCTATAGTATTTATTTTCTCACAAGTAGAATAGTCTCTTCATTAAAAAAAAGGAAATTATATTAATTTTTTAATATAGGATTCAATTGTACATAAAGTTCATGTTGTGAAAAAAATAAATATGAAATTAAAAGATGAACAGATATAGTCATCAAAATGCTTTTGTTGCAAAAAAGTATTAAAATTATTTTTATCTACTCCTCTTTTACTTTTTTTAATAATCACCATTGTGGATTTTTTTTTCCTATTTATTAGTTATTTTGAAAGTTCTAACCAACATTATTACTATTTTCTCAAGAAGGCGCTAACTCTGCAGGTAAAAAATAAAAAATAAAAAATCATACACTAATTCATGAACTTCAATTAATTAAATAAAGTGCATATTAAAAATGGTTCAAATGACAACTTTGCTCCTTAACTATAGATCCAAGAATTTATGACTCTAAACTCATTTTTAGTGTAATACTCTCCGTCAACTTTTAAAAATATTATACTGTTAACAAATATTAACTTTAATTATTGTTTGATCAAAAAATTACACAAAATGACTGAGAAAATTTTCTAGTTCATTTTCTTAAATTTTTTGGGTCATTTTCTATGATTTTTTTGATCAATTAATTGTCAAAGCTACCTTTTGTTAATATTACACAAAAAATAAGTTTAGAATCCCTGGAGTTTCTGAACTTATAATTCATGAGTAAAATTGTCTTTTTAACCTTAAAAAGTTAAAAGAAATTTTGACAATAATTGTGTGTTTCTCAATTATTTTAAACACAAGAATAACAAATAGAAAGGAGTATAAGGATCATAATAATAAAACAAATTAGATTGACAACATTTTTTCCTTTCGTAGCAAAATATTTGAAAACAACCATATAATTCATTATTTATAATTGATATCTAAATTTAGGTAGGATCAAACCCCGAAACAAATTAATTCTTATAAAAATGTCTTTTACATTTGTAAGGATCCAAATTTAAAACCCGTACTTAAATAGCTGTAACTTTTTAAAACTAAAATCAATCATCGAATTTTAGTCTTAAAAGAGAAATATTGCCAAATATATCAGGAGACCTAATTAAATTGTGGCTGTAAATAAAGGAACGTGACAAGACAATTTATGTATAGTTTCTGATTACATGTCAATAATTGAAGATGAAAGTAGACAACGTAACAAATCCATATGAACCAAAGTTAGGTGAAATATAATTTAAAATACAGTTTACCCAAAAGAGAAATTTTTGCGAGGATTCATTGTCCCATAAATGAACATTGGACCAGCCGCAACATACATGTGCATGCCTGGATCTCTTGTCTTTTCCTCTGCGAGGAAGTCATGATGCCATATGTTGATGATACTTTATGCAATACGATACATACAAATAAAGTTTTTTCTTGACCAAGTTTTTGAATAAGGGAAAGCTTTAGACTTTACAATCATTTCATCATCTTTATCGTTTTGTGTTCAATCAAATTTCCCTCGTGTTCTGACAAAGATACATAGTTGTATTCTAACAACCAAACATCAAACCATGCATCTCCCAATCTTGCCAACTTGTAAAAATTCCTCCCTTATTCACGCTGCTCTCAATATCTTCTTCACACACACACACACATGAATGGTCTAATCTATGTCTCATAAGTCACAACTCAATGATTTTTCCTTTTTAATTAGATTTCCTATTTATTTTATGTATGTTTGGATAAACAGTGAGAAATGTGTTTGTTATTTCAATGTATAATAAGTATTTACTTTTAAGAATATAAAAATATATTTTCGCTGAACCCTTTGGAACTTGTGTGGTTAGGGGATATTATTCTTGGACATGCTTTAATGTCTCCATTTGTTATGAGTAAATATGTAAATACCTTTGCCACAAGAAAATATTTATTTTGGGGTCTTTATCGCAAAAGTAATTTACTTTTCACTTGCTTACACTTTTTGAGCGTGAAGCACCCTGTGAAAGAGATAGAAAAGGCCTTTCGTAAAACCCTAACAACCATTGTGACATTCTCTTTTAATAATTCCGACCTCTGGGAAAATATTCTCCATATCTTCTTTAAACTTTCTGTACATGCTCCTTCATTGATATGAGCTGCTTATAACTTACCCTTTTTCTAACTTTAAGTTTGTTGGATTTCAAATGGAGTTCTCTCTGCATGCCTTTTCTCTCAAGACTTTGAACTAAACTTAAAGCACTAAAATATTGAAAAATAAACTTAAATAAGGACTAAAATAATATTTGGAAATATGAAATAAGGACAGAAGGTTCTTTAGTGAATTAGTTTAAATTTGCCACTCTCATTCATTATTTACAACCTTCATAATAAAATTTGCTGGTGATCAAGATTAACAGATAAGTATTAATTGGAAATAGTTTTCCCTAACAAATTAACAAATCTTGCAAATTCGTGTTAGGGTTGAAAATAAAAATTGGGGGGGGTAGTAAATCGTTGAAAGTAATGATATGTTTAACAAGTTTTTCCTTTACAAATTAGCAAATTTCACTTGCAAATTCTTGGTTTGATAATTGCAAATTATGCAATGAAAAATAGAAAATTTTTAAACTAAAAGATTTTTAGTCTTTACTTTAGATTTTCAAATATTTTAATTTTTATTTATGTTTAATTTAATTTTTTTCAGTCCTTCGTTCCCTCAATTACAACAAAAGGTAATATTGAATTTATTTCACTTGAGTCAATTAATGTTTGTTGGTATGTTTTCACTTTGGCTTAATATGAGAACCGTTTTATAAGGATTAATATTTTTTTCTAGAATATATAGCAAATGGCCATTTAATTAAGGAGCTAACAGAACTTCTTCATTGTTTAGGGTGATGAGGAAACGGGCAAAAGTTTTATATTCCCCTAAAAATAGAAGCAAAAAATCGAGATGAAAAATAGCATTTCATCAATAGCGATTGTGATTCCAATATATATATATTAGAACATTGTTAAATAACATGATTCTTAATCTTTGCACTTCTTATGTAAACTTGAAATGAAATTTAGTAATTTGAAGACTTATGGGATGTTTTGGACCGGAAATATAGAAACTTTACCATGTATTACTCAAGAGTTTAGTATGTTACATATGAGTTTCACACCAAGAAGCCTCACCACCAAAAAAAAATAAAAAACAAGTTTATAAATTTGATGAACTTTTTCACTTCATAGGCTAATTAACCTTTTAAGATAGACTTTCTTTTTAAATTTATACTTGTAACAATTAGCTAGGTATGCTCATATAATTTGAATGATTCTTTTTGCACCTATGATCACCTCCACCTTACATTAGTGAGAAGGGATTGATGATATGTTCTGATCTGTTTCAGGCCTTTTGTTTTTGAGAAAATCAGTGTAATAAAGTCACATAAGGAATCTAAAAATCCCATGAGATTGCAAAATTATTTTGGAGTCCTATGTCATTCATTGAAATGTCAATTTGCTATATATTAAAGTTGTCAATTACTCCTTGATAGTCGTTAATGGAGCTGTTCAGTTGACAACGTAACTAATCAGTAATAATTGACAATTATATAGCAGTAAATGATATGGAATTACATCTTGTGATTTCATGAAACTTTTCTGTATGTACATTCCCTGTGTAGGATTTTAAAGTGACTTTGCTTTTATAATGTTAGCTGTATTTAAATTTGTATCCGTTTCGTTGAGAAAAGGAAAGGAAACTAATGGGGCAAAAGATAGAGGAGACTATAGTTTGCAGACAGATTGAAAGAATAGAAAGCATATCTAAAAGAGAATAGAGGGAAAAAGAGACATGAAATTCTCTGAAAAGCTGCTGAAGATCATGATTAATGAATGTGAAGTGTGAAAGTAAGAAATGTGTATCCCTCTGATTATAAAGCTTTTGATTAACAAATTACAATATATAAAACTCAGAGTATATCCCGTGTATGTTATTATTGCTAGGACCATAGTCTGAACCCGAATCTCTGTCATTATTATTGCGTCGTAACAAAAGAAGTGAAATTCAATTAATTGGGCCCTCTAATTAAATCCCTCAGATTATAACCTTTCAATAATGTATCCATTCATTCACCGCTGAAATTTAGGTAGAAACACAAGAGAAAAGAGTTGGAGGCCATGAATTGATGTGTGTGTGTGTGTGTGTGTGTGTGTGACCATCGTGGAATTAAATTAATATTTCCACATGGTCATAAAAAATACGAATGAGACATTTTCTAAAAGGTTTTAACAGATTCTCTTTCACATCTACGAAAGGGTATTTAATTTTTTGATACAAGCCAAACAGTGATGTTAGGATAAA